TATTCTTTTTTATAGTATTTTTTCTAATATCAATAAAATTTTTACTTTTTTTCACTTTCTCCCAGAGACACCCATACTAACAGCTGGTCAAATCTTCCTCATTCTGCCTTATTTCCAGACCTGTTCAAAGAGATGAAATGCCAAAGACACATCTCGAGCTGTACTCCATAGGAATCTGGGAGAAGGTGGGAACAGCACAGCACTTCCAACCCCACACAAGAGATCTGGACAAGGAGATGGGGAACTTGTTTGTTTGGCTTTGGGATTTTTTTCCTCCTCTGACTGATTTTTACAGAGTTTTTTAATCTAAACAGCCCTTGGCTTCTGCAGGGAGGACCTTTCCTGCTGCCTGGTGGCTGTGGCTCTGCTGCAGGTCAGCTCCTGCCTTTCCCTGGTGTCCATCCCATCCGTGCAGGGATTTGCCATTCCCACAACTCCTGTGCCACGAGGGCTCAGCACAGGAACAGGGTAAGGCAGAATCCTCACAGGAGCTGTGGAGCAGCTGCAGCTTCTCTACAGTTTCTGGATGTCCTTTCTGGGTTAAATCTCCAGCTTGAGTCCCCACTGAGCAATGTGGCACGTTATAAAAATGATAAGAAAACACCTGAGCAGTGAACCCCATGGAATAAAGTCTCTTTTAGGTCATGAGAGGCCAGCAGGAACCCCAGCTCCAGCTCTGGGCAGCAGCAGCATCATAAAACCACCAACATCTCAATGCAAGTGGCTTGGGAGGCCCAGATTTCAGGGGACCATGTCCTGTTCCTGTATTTTTCCAACTTGCTGTATGAGTAAGGGGAAGAGTAACCCAGCCAAAGCCCTGCAGAGCAGCATTGAGCAATGCAACTGATCATTTAACTTTGTTTTCAATCCAGACTTCTGCCTTGGGAATTTTAACAGAAGCTGCCTGAACCAAAAAGACTTTTCCTTTTTATTCCACCTTTAAGCTGCAAAAAGCTGTAAGCTGGAAAATAGATGTCCTGCCTGGGGCTTCCTGGTAAACACTGGGATGTTAAAACATCTTACCCCAGGCTGCCTTCTCCCCCCTTTGCAATCCAGAAGGAAAGAGAACTCAAGGAAGAGCAGATAAAATGTTAGTTACACTCCTGTAAACAGCAGATGATTGTCAGGGCTTGACATCAGCAGTTTTTGCAAGAGGATAATAAGATCCACATGTGATGCTGGGGCTGAAGATAGAAACAAGGAGGAGGACTCGAGGGGGCTCAGAAATTGCTGCTGAAGGTGTCTGCAGAAAGCTCTGGGAATTTTTGACCAGTTCACATGGATAGAGATGGGGGAGGCACCAAAGCAGCAGAATCCTGCTGGGAGACTGGGGGAAAAGAGCTCCAGAAAGGGAGAGAGCTGCAAAATGCCATTAGGGCATTTCTGCCACAAGTGACTGCTCCAGCAGAGCTCCGAGAGAAAAGAGTGAGGAAAACACCACAGCAAACCAGCCAAACTAACAAAAAAAACCCTAAAAAACCCACAAACAACAACAACACCCCACCAAAACCAACAAAACACCAGGCAGAGGAGAAGATTCTTCCATTTCTGCAGCCACAATAAAACAGATATTTGGGGATGGCCAAGAGAAGCCCTGCCATCTCCCATTCCCTTGCTGCATCTGTGAGTCCAGCACTCTTTCCTGAAGGATGTCCTGATTCCTCAAGCAGTGCAGTGCTCTGAGTCCAGTGCTTGCTCTCATGGAGGAGCTCCTTCTACTCATACACAGCCTTTAAAAACAGGGCAGGGCATTTCTTTACTAAGTGTACAGAAAAATCATTTCACCATACACTGATATACAAACATTTCCATTTTAGTCCTGGACAACCTCTTATCTACATTACAAAAAGAAATTAAAATGAAGCCAGGACCTCACACATTGATCAAATCCTCTGAGATATCTTAGAGCCCCTACTCTGCATGGCAGAGAACACTCTGTAATCCACAAATCCTGGGCATAGAAGGGTTTTTTTCTGAGGAACAAAATATTTTATTGTCTATTTACAATGTATTTAGTGATATATTTATAAAATAAATCTTTATTTACAAATTTTATTATTTGCCCCGGCCACACCCCTGTGTGATCCTCACTGTAGTAGAGGCCACACCTGCACTGGGAATTTTCTCTCAAGATGCATTTGCTAAAATGCAGTAATGAGAGCAGCAATTGCCACGGGGCTGACAATAATTTATGCAGAAGATCTCAATGGCCTGTCAGGTGGTGGAAGGGAATGCAAAGCAGATCATCCAAACTCCTGAGAACAACATTCTTGAAACCTCCACTCGTGCCAAGGAATATGGAAAGGAAGAAGTGGAGTGGCTTCTGGAGAAGCAATAAAAGTGCACTTTAATCCAGGGATTCCTCTAGATCAGATCCCCTGATTGCAGCAGAAATGGAAATCATGTTCTCCAGACTCACCCAGGTCTGAAATGAGGATGTGAGCACTCACATCCCTGAGGCTGCACCCTCACACAAGGCTCCTGAAGCAGTTCATGCACTCCAATATTTGCTGGATGTGTGGATTTTATCCTAAATTTCTCCTTCAAAAGCCTCAGGAGAAATATATTTTGCGCTTCTAAATGCTAATTCTGTCACAGCATCAAAAGTTATGAGTGGGTTTCAAGAGTCAGGAGAAGAGTTACAGTGATTTTCAACTTGTATTAACCAGTAATGCCATTGCTAGATACAAGTTTAGGATGTGTGAAAGGCAGATATAAATATATTAAATAAAGGCAGATAAATGCTCAGTTAGAGACACGAGTGGTGTTTCCCTGACATTGAATTCTAAAATCTCTTGTTTCCATGTTATTATCCTTTAATCCTCCAAAGCAAGACTGTCACTTTTAGGGGGTGACAACTTTTCAAGTTACTCCAAGCAAGAAGTTGACAAGTTCAGAATATTGGCAGTGATGATTGAACAAATCAGTCTGGAAAGAACAGTGCTGTTAACTCCTTTTCAAAATGAAAATGTATTTCATTTGGAAAAACAAAAGAAAAAATTAGAATTTAAAAGAGAAGGCAAGATCAAGAATAGGGAAGAACATGTGCCAGCTCTATTTTCTAACCCCTGGCTGGACTTTCATAGGTAAATATATTGTTTTCAAGGGAAAAGAAACCAACATAAAAGTTGCAAATAAGTGTATATTTCAATGAAATTTTCATTCTGGGGAGAGTTGGGAAAATAAAATACTGAAGACAAACCCATTAAAATCCATTTCAAGTGGGATTACTCCCCACTTCACCAAGGCAAAATCAAGCTCAATAAGTCAATTTTCCAGTGTTTAGGACTTTTTTAAAAAAGTCATCTACCAATAAATTAAAGCTACCTTTGGCAGCAATTTATGATATACTAATTTTAAAATTGAAATAAATTGTTTATACAACTGAATGTATTTTTTAAAAAAGTGGAAGACCTTTACAATGTGTTCCAAAAACTGGATTACAAGATATTCACTTATTTGATTTTCTTCTTGTGCAAACCAGGGCAAAACCTTTCAGGAAAGCAATTCTTAAAGCAGGGAAAACAGTGACTATTGAATAAAATGCTGTCTGTGGGAAGACACAAACACATTTTCCCAGGCTGTGCTGCTGAGCTTTCCAGACTGCCTCAGAATCTCAGCTGGCTCCTGTCTTCCCATGGGAAAAGAAACATTTTAAATGCAGGATCGAAATAATAAGAATAACAATTTGAAAAAGAAAGAAACAAACCACCCCTGCCTGATGACACATCTCCCCTCTTCCTAAACCCTGGAGAAATCACGCTTTCAAAATTCCTTCCCTCCAAAATAAAATAAAATAAAATAAAGTAATCTGCACATTTAATCTAAGATAAATCCTAATTTTGTAAAGAATCTCTCATGGTTTATAATGTCCCCGAGGTATCCCACCAGTTACGTGAGGTAATTCCAATAAACAACATTTTCTTCAGCTAAAAAAAAAAAAAATAAATTACTCCTTTATCTTTTCGTGCCTAAATCGAGCACCTGCTGAATCAATAGCCACAAATTCAAAATTCAGTGAGAAAGCAACGAAATATTCCCAATAATTTATCAAGGAATGGCAGAATCCCCAGCAGGACCCAAGGGCTACGTGCTGATTGTGCTGCTGAATGGGGAGGGAAGGGAAGGAGGAAGGGGCTGCAAGGAAAGCAGCCAAAGGAAACTGCAGCAAATGTAAAAAGCATTTCAGGGCTATATTTAGAGGAAGACATTCTTCCTACATTTGCCAAGCTGCTCACGTCATTTCACACAGCATGTTTGATCCAGCTTTAGAAGTCTAGGAGGGAGCAGGAGAGGGGGGGGAGGAAAAAAATCTGGATCAGCTGCCAGAAATGGAAATCTTGCATTTATGGAGAGGAACAAATATTTTAAGCATGTGAATTTCAAGAGTGCTTTCCAAAGTGATGGGAGGGGGGAAGGGGAAAAAGGAGGAGGGCAGGCAGGGTGGTAAAACTTCCTGCAGCCAGAATTCTGCAGAATATGGAGAATATTTATCAGTAACAGCACTTTGCTCCAATACTCCCTTTGGAGCCAGGCTCACAAGCCTGAGCTGCACCACTAAAAATACTGAAATGTGTGAATCTCACTGAGTTCAAGCCTTCCTCTGGTGTAAACTGGAGCCTCGTCCGTGCTCCTGCAATGGCATCCAGCAGTTACATAAGCAATTACATCTTTCTCATCCATAATACGTGATAAACAACCACAAGGGATGAATCAAACACACTCCAAATGCAGGCTCAGAGGTGAAAACTCTATCAAATACACTCCAGTTTCACAAGAACGTTATGATTTTCCTTTAATTCACGTCATGAAGTTCAGGATTTGCATAAAGAAACGTCAAGATGAAAAGAAAAATATGTCAGGAGCAGATGTAATGGGATCAGGAACAAACCACGTGGAAATTTCCTGTTAGTGACCTTCTGGAGGGTGGTGATGGAATTGATTTGAGATTTAGGACACGCTTTGCTTAAACTGAGATGACTTCTGTGAAAAGTTTTTACCTTCATTCCCTTCTCCAGGTGGCTGATAAAACGAAAGCCCCAAAGATATGATGGCTGCAATTTCCAAGATTATAAGAGTCACATCCTGCAATGCTTCCCAAACTAGCTGTATGAATGTTTTTGGCTTCTTTGGAGGTATAAAATTTTTTCCAAAAATAAGCTTTCTTTTTTCTAGGTCTGCAGCAGTGCCAGCTAATCCTGTAAAGAAAACAAAATAAAATAAAATCAGGTGAAATCGCCATGAAATAGAAAATGCATTCCTATAAATTACTTCTCCAAGAAAAATTCCAAGCTGTAGCACCTATGGCATATTAACAAACATAAATATGGCACTTAAATTGTGGTTTTGCAAGAGGATTTGTCCTAATATTCCGAACAGAATTCTCATGAGCTCCATTTAGCACTAATTTTTGCCAGTTTTAATCATTAAAAAGTCTTTGAATTCAGAGGTTTAGATTAATAAGACCTATGTATATACATATACACAAGCAATGACTTCTGAAAATAGATCCTAAAGCACAAAGAAATTATTTTTGGGATGAAGCTGGAACAGGTGATGGAAGCTTTTGGTAATACCTGTAGCAGATCACACAAATCTTTGTTCTGAATGCAAAGGATAAATCAATAAAGCCTCTCTTGTGCTACTTCAAAGCAACCTCAGGCTGCGAATGGACTCCAGCACATCCCTGGAACGAGCTGCATCACGTTTTTGTCACGGGAAAAAGGCAAAGTGACAAGTTAAATATGCACAGGAAGGCAAAAGGAAACAATATGGCTCCATGTATTTTACATGATGCTTCAATTGAAGAGCATTTCAATTTAAGGACACAGGATAACAATGGGTGGTTGTGCTGAACAATCCACTGGGGTGGTTTTTTCCCCTCCTTTTTAATTATATTAAAGGATGCACGACTGGTGCCTTTCCAGAAAAACAAAACAAAAACCAAAACAAAAACCCAAAACAAACAAACAAAAAATTACTTGCAAGCATCATCAGGGTAAAATAACTGAGCCCAAATATCCCTCTGAGCAGCATAAAAAACTGCAAGAAGTGTTCCACATTTCTGCCAAACAATGCCTGATATCACAGGATTGGTAAGATTGGAAAAGCCCTTTAGGATTATCAAGTCCAGCACTCCCAATCCCACCAGCAGCCCCTGTCCCCAAGTGCCACATCCACACCTTTTAAATCCCTCCCAGGGTGGTGGCTCCAGCACTTCCCTGCACAGCCTGTTCCAGTGCTGGCCAGCCCTTCCCATGCAGAAATGTTTCCTAATATCCAATTTACAGCTCCCTTGGTGCACCTGAGGCTGTTTCCTCCTGTCTTGTTTAGAGAAGAGACCAACCCAGCTGGAACATCTACAGAACTTCAGGTTTTGAATGTGATCAGCAACATAAAGTTATTTATGAGAGGAGGAGACTCAGGGGTGACTTTATCACTCTCTACAGCTCCTGAGAGGTGTCTGTGCTCAGGTGGGGTTTGGTCTCTGAACAGGCAGCACTGACAGAACCAGAGGACACAGTCTTACCTGTGCCAAGGGAAATACAGGTTGGACATTAGGAAAAAGGGTGATAAAGTGCTGGAATGGTCTGCTGGGGAGGTGGTGGAGTCACCATCCCTGGATGTGTTTAAAAACAGACTGGATGTGACACTGGGTGCCCTGGTGTGGAGTTCAGGTGTTGGGCTGGCTTGGACTCAATGATCTTGGAGGTCTCTTCCAACCTGGTGATTCTGTTATTTATAATTATTTATGATGATCCATCCTTGCATGACCCCGGGAGAGCCCCAGAGCTGACTTTGGAGGAACAGAAAGGTGTGAGGAGGAACCACCAGCCCCACACTGAGGATTCCTGGGCTCGGGTGGCTCAGGGCAAATCCCTGCCTCCCCCAAAGCATGTGGGACACCTCGGCAGTGGGGAACATGGCCTGCAAGAGAGAGGGGATGCTGAGAGTCCCCAGCCTGTGCCTGGCTCCCCCAGCCCCTCCCTGGGGAGGAAAGCGATGCCGGATCAGTGATCCCCACTGCAGGCACATCCTGACTCACCTTTCCCTCCAGGTGTCTCCTTACAGCTGCTGGGCAGCTCCTGGCTCTTGGTTAACTCATCAAAGTTTCATTTCCCCTTCAGCTGCTGAGAAACACGAGCCCCTCCTGCAGACCAGGGCTGCTGGTGTTATTATTAATTACCTCGGTTAATTTGCAGGGCCCCGTGCTCAGTGACACTGGGACAGACGGGTTCCAGCATCACCCTCCAGCATCCCAGCTCCTCTGAGAGCTCCCAGGCAGCTTCCAAGGCAGGGAAAATCTTTTCCCCTGTGCCACAGGAATTTCTGCCTTTTTTTCCCCCCCCAGAGGTTTGGGGAACACAGGTGAGGGATCAACCTCCAGCACAAACCAAACCAGGGCACTCCGAGCTGCACCAGAGGGCTGCCAAAAGGGTTTGCACTAAAAATCAGAGAATCATGGGATCGTTAAGGTTGGAAAAGACCTCTAAGATCATTGAATCCAACTTTTAATCCAATACTGCCAAGTCCCCCATGTCCCCAGGCACATCTGCATGTTTTTGAATGATTCCAGGGATGGTGACTCCATCATTCCCCTGGGAGCCTCTTCCAGTGCTTGACAACCCTTCCATGGAGAACTTTTTCCTAATATTCAGTCTAAACCTCTCCTGGAACACCCCAGGGCATTTCCTGATCCCCCTGGCTGTCCCCTCCTGTCAGGGAGTTGTGCAGAGCCAGAAATTCCCCCTGATCCCCTTTTCTCCAGGCTGAGCCCCTTTCCCAGCCCCTCCTGATGGGACTTTTACAAAAGGCATCCACAATTTACATCATGCCCCCAAAACTACTCAACCTCACACAAGAAGAGGAAATTCCATGGGCACCGTTGACAGGGAATTGGGGCAGAAATTTTTATGCAATGCAGCTTCAGGCAGCAGCACAAAAATCTGGAAGGAAAAACTCAAAGGATGGAAGGAACAGCCATGTGAACCATGCCTGTTTTCCAAGGCAGAACATTTGTGCTCACTGGTGGGGCAGCTCCAGCAGCTCAGCACGGGACTGGAGCTCTCCAGCCCAGCAGGGATGGGACAGCACAGGGGAAACTGCAGGGATTTTCAATAATCCCAATCTCATTTACAGGGACGTGCTGCATTCCTGAGTTTGGAATGATGCCCTGTACCCCCCTGCCAGCAGGGAACACAAAGGACAGCTCCTGTCCCAGCTCCTGTCCCATGTTTTTGGTGTGTAAAATACACCTGAGGAGCCTCCAAAGCCAAGGAGAGGCTGGAAATTCAAGAGCTGCTTTTTGTCTAAGATAAAATTTGTCCATTTAGACACCATAAGGCTGAGGAACAGACTGTCTAAAGTCTTGGTCATCCTTATTTTCCTGACTATAGTCCATGTAATGCTGGAATTCAGACATCAGTCATTAGGACTCTTCCATTTTTGTTAATATCATTTTCTTTAAGAACCACAAAGGTAAATTATGCAGATGATTTTATTCTTTTCTCTAAGTCTTGGAGAAATTACTTACCCACTCAGTCTCATCTAAAAACCAGAGTATATTCATCTTTAATAATGAGATTTATTTCCTTGTAAATCATTTAGAAATCCTGGAAAATGACATCCAGTGTCCAGTTCAAACCAAAAGTTTTCCCTTCTCCTGTGACCCAGCCATCACTCAGAATCCTGTCTAGCAAAATTTTGGGGCTTTTTTTAACTCCCACTGAAAGGCAGAAATGAAAAAACTCTTCAAACGAGGGAGAGAAAGAGAAAGGAAAGGAGACAACGGAGAAACGTGATGATATTGGATTTTAAGAGTTCTGCAGAGATAAGGTCAGAAAGGGCAAAGTGCATGGAAATGACAAAGATGTGGGGAAATGGGGCTGAGCCTCTGAGGCAAGGCAAGAAGTTCCCCATAAATTCTCAGAATGCACAAGCAGGTACAAGAGGAGCCCTCCTTATCTTCCCCAAGTCAGCTGCTCTCCTCAGAAAAGTCATTTGCATTATTCCTGGGGGTTCTGTGAGCGAGGCTGGGCTGCCCAGATGGCACAGCCAGCAGAGAGCACAGCCAGGGCAGCACAGGACATCTGAGCCTGCACTGCCTCTGCTGCTGCTCCACTCTGCATTGTTGGCTTTTTATCGTGGTAAACACACCGGCTTCATCTCCTGAATTTTACTGTTTTATTTCTCCCCCGAGTCCTGTGACAACAGTGAAAGAGCACTGCAGATGAGGGCAATTTAAAACATCATTTCTGTGCGAGGATATAAAACATCCAAGGATGTGGAGAAGAACCAACAGGGACTAAAAAACATGAATGGAAATAGCAGCTCAGTAGGACTTCAGATTTCTCACATTCCCAGCACATCTTCTTCTTCTTCTTCATCCCCCCATCTTCTGTTCTGTGTGGCAATAGAAGTCACAGACTGGCTGGGTTTAGGTCCATTTCTCCACACAAGTATGAATATTTTATTTAAGTGCTTTTCCAGGTCAAAGCTGTGCAGTACAACTTTGCTTGACCCGAGTGTTTAGAAACAGATGTGCAGATTTGGGTTAAATTTACACACAAATATTGCACATGAGTTTAGGAAATACTGTGAAAATTTACTGATGCTTCCAGCACTTGAGTGATTTCTTAAGGCTTCATTTTCCAAAAGTTTTCACCAAAATTTGTGCGAGAATGAAAGCAACTGCATAGAAAACATTTTCTACAGTGTCGTGCAGTGTATTAAATTCATTTATGATTTAATCTGGCATTGTTGCCTTTTTGGAGGGAGAAAAAGAACACAAAACTGGAGAAATGCCACTTAATGAATTTTCTCTGTTCCTTATCTACATCTGCCAGTTCCTGCACACTGAATATAAAGCTATTTTTTCAATTAATGCCTGGAAAAATGTATTTCTCTGACAGTCATCTCTACTGCAACCAAATGGAGCATGACAAACACAGAATGATTCTGATGCTGCAAAAATAGCAAAAAAGCACAGCACTACTAACAAAACAATGGGAAAAAAACACCATAAAACTTTTAAGAGAATGTTTGAAATTGGCTCAAAATTAGGAGCTGAAGGATGAAGAATTTACATTTGCATTAATTGAACAAATAAAGCAGTCGTTGCTTATTAAATTCCTTCTGTCCTTTTTCCTGATGCAGCCAGAAAAGGAGATAAGAATTTCGAATAGCAAAGCCT